CGGGGGGGGGGGGGGGGGGGGGGGGGGGGGGGGGAGGGGGAGGTCGGGTAATGAGGCTTCCGATGTTGTGACGAAGGAAGGGAAAAGGAAATCGTCCAATTCCTCCGCCCGCAGGAAGCTGTCTTGGATTCGCCTACGGCAAATAGGCGATATAAACTTGGAAGAAGATAACAGTTACATCTATCTTGAACTCAAATCGCCAGCCGACGACTACATATCGAAACGCTTTCGGTTAGCGCAAATCCCGCAGCATCAACGATATCTTCAAAGTTTTGAGGACCATGCCCAGCATTTCAATACCACTATGTTAAATGCAGTGACGTACGAATGGGAAGCTTCGTCACTCAGCAGAACTGAAGAGCAAGAGATGGCTGTAACGAGGGGGCGAAGGAGCAAGGGATGCTTTGCGTGTCTTCCCGTTATCATATAAGCAGTCAGACTTTCCGTCAGATGAGCAGCGTGCACTGATACCGCGCGAGAAAGTAAATTCGATGAGCAAGGGTTATTGTCGGTCCTGGTTGATGACTTCACCGGAGTCTTTTCTACGGACTGGAAACAAATAAAGTCGTAAATACAAAATTTTTGAAAATTTTATTTGCGTCGTAGTGCTAACTAATTAGCTAGAGTTCAGCCCTCAGAATTTAATGCACCTGAAATCTTGGGTTAGCTTCACAACTTCTAAGCGAAGCAAAATAATGGTATTTTGAAGTTTTAATCCGTCGTACATAGCAGCAGTTGTAAACCGAACGCATTACTTCACTTTTAATGCGTTTTTGCTGTGCAGCGCTGCAACAGGCAACCTAAACGTATATTGCGATGACCCTATGTGTGTGTATATGTCTGTATGTTTGTGTATTCGTCTGTCCGAGTACTTCTACTTGCCAACTACGCAAGCTTTGATGCCGAAATTTTGCTAATGTGTTCCCTGGCCGAGTGCGACCCCAGGGGCATAATATCAACTTTTACATACGTCTACGTCTCGTTTACGGACACGTGAAAGTTTTGGCATAAAAATTGCTAACTCGGGGACGAGAAAACCTAGAAAGCTGAAACTTTAGGGAAATACTGTATCTTCATGCGCGACCAAAA